ACTGCCTGCATGTATGTGAGTACACCCGTGTCGTGCAACGCCACAGAGGTCAGAAGAGGGCTTCAGATTTTCCTGGAACCGGAGTTAAGGAACGCTCGTAGCTGCCATGTGGGTGTTAGGAATCGAACCCGGGTCCTCTGCAAGAGCAGTCAGTGTTCTCAACTGCTGAGTCATCTCTCCAGCCCCTCCATCATTTCTTTAGGAGCAAAGCTGCTGAACTCCATCTACCTGGAGAGCCACACCTGCTCCATTACAGGTGATTAGCAAAACCAGAGATGAAAACTAGGATGGCTTTTTCACTGCGCTTATGGCTGCTCCTTAGCTTTGAGTTCCTCTAGTTTCTTCTTATAGCGACTCAGGAAGTACTCGTCCGGCTCGATGCCTGCGTCCTTCAAAGTTTCCAGAACCTTTTCCAATCTGGCCACAGAACGGGCTGCCTCGATCTTCCTCGTGCTCAGGTACAGAGTGAACTCTTGGAAATCCAAGAGCTTACAGGTGTCCACAGAGCAAATATTCCGAATATCACAAGTTCTATCCAAATGGGGGAAAAACACCAGACCTGCCATCTTCTCTAAGTCCTGGAGGCTCACCTGGAACTCAGTTAACTGAGATTGGAAGCTGATGGCTTTATTGGGCACTACAAAGGCCCCCAGTGCCAGTGGTTCTTTAGACTCCTCGCTTCTTCGAGCCAGGATCACCTTGTAAAGATGTGAGGGGACTGCCACGTTGTCCTTGCCAATCACCTAAAAACAATGCAGCCAAATTAGTGATATAGGTTTCTGCAACAGTTCCCGAGTCTGTCAATGATTCTTAGATGTATTTTTCAAAATGGTTTTTATAAGCAACCTCACCCTATCCTGATGAATGCCAAAGATAATGAAAGAGACCCAAAGAAAAGAATATCTTAAAGGCCAGTTCTGACCACAGACTTTAAAATAACGCTACCCCAAAGATACATTTCTCTTTATCTCCTTATCAGAATTTCTGTTGCTCTAAACATACAAAGGTCTAAACTGCTGCTCACTCAGACATTCCCAGTTCTAGCAATAAACATATCGGCTTGGTTTATCAAACTTACCAAGAAACTAAACTGACAGCCTTTGAAGCAGCAGTAGACACACCAACCAACAATAGCATCTGGATCAGCTAGACTGCACTCACTTGTTTTTTTGTTTTGTTTTGGTGTTTTTTTGGTCTTTTTGAGACAGGGTCTTCCTGTAGCCCCAGCTGGCCTGGAACTCACTATGTAGAATAGGTTGGCCTTGAACTCACAGAGATTCACCTGCTTCTGCCTCCCGAGTGCTGGGAATAAAGGTGTGTGCCACCATGCCTGGCATGCAGCTCACTTTTTGAAATTAGATTAAATAGATTCAAATGTTCTTGCTTAGTTTCGCATGCTCTTGGACTATCAAACCCTGAACTTCTGAATTATGCTGTCGAATGAGACACTTTGGAAAGGTGGTCATGCAATGAAGAAGGCAGAGGCAGGGTCAGGCTGAGAAAACAACTGGTTGCCCCTGTAGGCTGGCCGTATTAATGAAATAACATTATTAGGAAACCTCGTCAAATGTCCTTCCAATATGCTTAAAAGCCTCATCTGTTGTCTAAAACACAAAAGCTGAACATCCATTTCCTTAATGGTCCCTGATAAAATGACACGACCCAGCTGAGCATGCTCACGGCCCTTCTGCCCCTCCCAGGCCTTCCTTGGTGTCAGCAGGCTTTCTTTCTTGATCAGACAGCTCTGCCAGCTACAGGATTCCCTGTTGGGAGCCCAACTGAGGCAGAGATGAGAGCTATGAAAGAGGACTATTCTCTGAGTTTACAAACTCCTGTCTACACAGCACCCAGACTGTGGCCAGGAGCTCCGTGGCCATCTGTCTGTCACACATGGAAGCCCCACTTCCACACCCACCTGTAGAACTGCAGGAGAGATCCAAGCACAAGAAAAACTTCTATAACCAGCTGTCTTCAAACATGCTGAAAGTGGTTGGTCAGGGTTCATTCAAAGGGAAATGTATGAACCTACACAATCTATAGCCCAAAATCCTCACCTCAGACACTAGAAACATAGGCAGGTTCATCAGGACAACATAAATTCTGAAGGTAACCATCTACATGTTCACATACAGTGCATATATAAATGGGGATCACACGCAATGGGCATACAAATGGGGATCACACACAATGGGCATATAAACAGGGATCACACACAATACGTATACAAATGGGGATCACACCCAATGAGCATACAAACAGGGATCACACACAATGAGCATACAAATGGGGATCACACCCAATGAGCATACAAACAGGGATCACACACAATGAGCATACAAATGGGGATCACACCCAATGAGCATACAAACAGGGATCACACACAATGAGCATACAAATGGGGATCACACACAATGGGCTTATAAACGGGGATCACAGATGGCCAATAAGTGCTAACTGAGCAGTGCTCAGGGGTTCTGAGCCTGGCTGGCACTGCTGGAAATCTAGAGCAGGAATAAGCTTTCAAGAAGTGCAACTGGAGCTAGTGAATAGTTCAGTTGGTAGAGTGTTTTCCTGGCATGAAACCCTGGGCTTGACCTACCAGCACTCCATAAATTAGGCATGGTGATATAGATGGTACATGACTGTAATCCCAGCACTCAAGAGGTGAAGGCAGGAGGATCTGAAGTTCAAGATCATCCTTGGCTACACAGTGAATTCAAGGCAAACCTAGACTACAAGTCTCATTTTTAAAAATTAAAATAGGAGCCAGGCATGGTACATGCCTTTCATTCCAGAGGCAGATGGATCTCTGTGAGATTGAGGCCAGCCTGGTCTACATAGCGAGTTCCAGGCCAGCTGGAGCTACTGGGAAGACCCTGTACTATATCAGAACAAAGAAGAAAGGGAATGAGAGGGAGAGAGGGAGGAAGGGAGGAAGGGAGGAGAGAAGGAAGGAAGGAAGAGAGGAAGGAAGGAAGGAAGGAAGGAAGGAAGGAGAAAGAAAACAAAGCAGAGAGAGAGAGAGAGAGAGAGAGAGAGAGAGAGGAGTGCATTGGCCTGCTCTTTAGCAGTTTATCATCTGAGAGGGAGCCAATACCCACAGCTTTCCCTATAGGCAGAATGTGGCTAGATGCTAAATAAAATAGATTATAAACAACAGCACTAAGGGGGCAGGGACCAAAACTGAGGGCACAAATACAGCTGAGCCATATTCTCAAGAGGATGTAAGTTGAAATGGGCTTCAAATGCTCTAAGCAGCAGCTGAGACCCAATCGGTAAGCAAACTCCTGGTGCCACCTGGTGGGCTTTCCACGTTACTGCAGCCAGCATAAGAACCCCTTGGGAGGCCTTCCACACCATTCATTTGATCATCTCTCCTCACTGGCTCTTTGTCCACAAAGTCTTCCTTGGACTTAAGACTTTAAAAGAAATCTTAAATTTTCAAAAATAATTAACTGGTCACACTCATTTGCTACCAACCAGAGCTTCGAATTCAGCTCATTAAATTCCAGCCAAAGGTATAGAAGTTTGACATTTTGTTTGTGGGTTTTTTTTTAAAACTCATGACAGCTACAGGACCTCCATTACTGCTGTTCTAAGGACTGAAGCCAGGGCTACAGCTCTAGTCTTTGACATAATTTTGAAAAACCTCATGGACACAGAAATTCCTACTCAGAACCATAAGGTTCACTCTTCCAGTCATGGCCTCCTCACAGTATTTCAAAGAGTGAAATACAACCCTACAAATAAGTGGAAACATGAAACCCACTCAGCACCTTGTCTGCAGTCTACTTTGTTCTCAGCAGGCCTGAAACAGAGACCGGATCTGTTTGGGAAATTCAGAAAACCCACTGTTTCTTCCTTGGACTTAAGACTTTTAAAAAATCTTAAAATATCTTAGGGCTATCTTCTTTATAGATAACTGAGCAATGCATATAAATTTTTCCTACTTTGAGGAAAATCAGAAGACTCCCAGAAAACATTCATAGACAGCATATAATACTGAAGCAAAGAAGTTCAGTGGACTAGACAGAGAACTGCTCAAGCTCTCGCTTTGCCACCAAACTGCACTTCATACCCACCTGCCTGTGTCTTCATTTATAAAAGAGGCACCAGCACTCCCCCAAATGCCTCCCTCATACAACTGTTATGAAGACATATTAGCTTGTTTACAAAAGAAAAAAAAAGGCTGGGCATGGTAGTGTACATCTATAATCCCAGAAACTTGGGAGGTAGAGGCAGGAGGATCAGGAGTCCAAGGCCAGCCTGAGCTATATAAGACACTGCTCAAACAAACAAATATTTAAAACTCATTGAGACCTATGTGAAAAGCTAATTATGTAGTGGGTGTCACTCAAAAATCAGGCTTCCAACTGCAACAAAACAAGACAAACAAACAAACAAAAAAAAGTTTTACTGAGGAATTGTGGAAAAACCCAGGCTCAATCAAGATTAGATCAGTTAAAAGTCGACAGCAGGTTTCAGGAGAAGAAATCAAGTTGAACACAAATGGCAGCAAAGGATTTCTATATGGCTTAACATGAACCAAGACTTTAGTATCAGTAAATCAGCAACAACCCTTTTCATAGAAGATTTAGGTATAAAAATACTTTACAAAGGAAACCTTTGCTACTATTAAATTACTCAAAAGCATCAAACTTGTCAAGACAAACAAAAATTGAAAATCAACTGGAAGTGACTAGAAAACCCAATACACGTAACAACTATACGTTGGCACTCATTTGTAACCTGAAGTTACTTCCTTCCTTCCAAAAGACAGAAACAACAATTTATCCCCATCATAACCAAAGTCTGGCCCCAGTCCCTGAAGAAGTTGGGAAGAAACACTACAGACTATGCCTGTATAAATGCCAGGTTTAATGTCATATATAGAGTTACTGTGCCTTAAATGAAGCTATTAAGCAGTGTCTTGGAGAAAAAAACAGGTACCTACTATAATTAGATAAATGTATTTGGTGACACCCCGCCCCAGTAAGACAAAAAATAATAATCAGTTACAAAAATAAAACTTCTGGGACACATCAAGACACTACACCCTTAAAATGGCAATCATGTAAAAGAAAGATATGCTGGTTGGAAAAAATGGGAACCGGGCTGGAGAGATGGCTCAGCAGTTAAGAACACTGTTCTTGCAGAGGACCCAGGTTCAATTCCCAGCACCCACATGGTGGTTAACAACCATCCGTAACTCCAATTCTAGGGGATCTGACGCCCTCTTCTGACTTCCTCAGGCACGAGGGCACCTACGTCCACGCAGGCAATACACTCATACACATTAAATAAATGCATGAGGTCTGATGGGGGGCTGGGGAGGTATGGATGGGGGAGGGGGTCTAAATTTGATTAAAAACTGTTGAATGAAATGTGCAAGAGCTCAATAAAAAATTTTAAAATAATAATAAATAAACTTTTAAATTTAAAAAAAAAAAGAGGGGGGAAACCATCCACACCTAAGAGGCCAGAAGGAGCAAGTGAGGAGGCCTGGGTGAAAAAAGGCAGCAGCAGGATGTGGTCAGTCCTGTCACCCCAAAGCCAGCTGACAGTTGGTAAGGCAGCGCAAACCTGAAGACAGAGCTCTCCAGTGGGCACCTGCTCGAGGCAATGGAGTGAGACCCTGCTCATTCATGGCAAAGCAAGTGTTGTCCTCCCAGACCATCCCAGCTAGGGTAAGAAGATAACCAGGAAGAACTTATTTTTCAACTACAACCAACAGACATGGAAA